TACTTTTTAAAACTAAGTTAAGATGTGACCTACAGAGATCCTTATGTCTGGTTTAGTTTGACTAGACTAAACGACCTTGAAGGTTCCTTCTAGCTCAAGGTCAATCTTGAGGTCAATTTCTTGTCTATGACAAGAAATACGAAAAGAATGGAAGCTGGAGAAAGTGCTACTTAGTCCGTTTAGCTTTACCTTTGTTGGTAGCCATGGGTTTCATTTGGCCCCCTTTGTGTGACTCAATACAAAACAGTCCTTCTGTAGCCTGCCCCTCTTGGATCATTGCCTTGTCGTGGCGGAGGGACTTTCATAGCTCAATGAAACTCTGCCACACAGGATTACCCACGACAGACAGGTCATAGTGGAGGGTTCTGACAAAAGGTGATCCACTGAGAAGGAAATGGCAAACCAGTGTCTTTGCCAAGAAAATCCCATGGGCAGTGTTAAAATGCTAAAAGGTATGACATTGGAAGAAGAGCCCCTTAGATCAGAAGTTGTACAGAAGAGCCTGGCACACTTTGGTCCCCAGGGTCACAAATAGTCAGACATGTCTGAACAACTTGACAACAACAGCCTGAGTAGGGGGTTGTATAGAATCCTTCTGCCCAGACTTCTGTATTGGGACTCAAGTGATATAGTTTGCTCTGTCAGCACAGACCTCGCCAGCATTTAGGCATCCTGACACTCTTGGACAGAAAGGATTTCCATTTACAAGCAAAAAGCCACAGTGGTCCACATGTACTGGCACAACGTCTTTAACTGATCATTACAAGGCAGACCCCACAGACAAAGCCATTGCCTTCTTAAACCACTACATTAACCCTGAGTGTGTAACTTGTTATGTACTAATGGTTTGGCTAATTCCCCTCTACAATGTTTACTGATTCTAATAGCACTCATTATTCATTCAGAAAGTGAATTCTTTTATCCACAATTCTGTCCAGGCTATGTTATCATGTCCTCTTGATGAGAAGTTTTAAGATCTCTGCAACAGTGAAATCAGAGGAGCTGGGAAGGTAGAGGTTGGGTTGTATCTTTTCCAAATTAGAAACAGATGCATATAACATGTATAAATAGGCAGTACCTCTGGTGCCCAGCCAATAGTCCAGGCAGAGTCTGCATTAGACCAAGCACTACAGTGAGACCTCAAAGAAGCTTGGAGAAAGCTCCTGCCCCTAGAAGTGCTCCCTTTGTGATTTGATTCTCAAGTACCAACACCTCCCAGCAAACTTCCTCAGCTGTCTCCTTCCCACCACAGAAGTAATCAACACATAGCAATAAAAGCTTTTACAGTGCCATCCTGTCTGTGATCAGCAAAGTCATAAAAAGCATGGAAGGCAATTGATTTCTGGCATTAATTGTGAGTGAGAGCAACACCATGCATCTTCACAAAGTTTCCACGCAGGACCATCTCATGTTGCAGTTCTCAAAAAATGAACTGGAGACAAAGACCCAACACACTTTTTAAATAACCATGTGGCCCAAAAAAGTGAGTTCCTGAACTTTTCCAGACTTATTAGCTTACATAAACAGAGATTTGAATAAATGTTTAAAAAGCTAAATTCCCTGGATGGCCTGTAATCAGTAAATGTTCATTACTGAAACACAGCAAATATGCATGAAATTTCCCAAGTGACATTCTGCTTACAAGATTAAAAAGGCAACATCAGAAAGCAACTCAAGTTACAAAGCATCTTCCTCCAGATGCTGGCAGAAAGGAATCTTCCCCAAACCCAAAGGTCACAGGAGCCCAGCTTGGATCTTCTATGTTTCGACAGTGACAGGAAATCAGAAGGAGCCTTGCCTTCTGCAGCCTGGGTGATTTATAAATAAGTCATCCACACTTGCTGATTGATGTCTCCATGTAAATAATTAATCCTTGACCTTACGCTAAGAAAGCCTTGACTTTTTAATTTGGGGTCTTTTAAAAAAATCAATGCTTAGGAAACATAATTCACTCTCACACAGTCTGGGTCCTGGGTAAATAAATATCCTGTCGAGGCATCAGGGCAGAGTGGCCTGGGTTTGGACTGTAAGTCACTACACAAATGGCACACTGAAGGGGGTATAGCCTGGGTGATGGGAAAGGAAGGGCATTTTTCACCCAGTCAGTGTTTCATGTTAATCAATTATTGATTATCCATTCCTCAGGGGCTGGGTTTTGGTTGTTGCTGATAGGTTATTCTCTAGGCATCACATCTAAATTGGAGCTCCTGATGTCACTATGTAGCCAAATGACAGAGTAGGCTCCCAGCTCTGGCTGCAACTTCCATTCACTCTCCATCTCTCAGTCATTCTACAAATATACTTCCCTCAATCTGAGAACTCCAGGCACCCAGAATCTCTTCTATTCTCTTTGGCTGGGTGGAGGGAGCAGGTGTCGGTAAAAGTTTAATTTAGAAGCTCATGAATTCAAAAGAGGAGCTTCGTGTTTATCCTTCCTACCTCACAAAGCTGCTACCAGGAAGGCAGAACAGAGAATTATGAAAAGGTATCTTTTGTGTCCCCCCCCCTTTCACCACTAGCATTAGTCCAAGGTGAAACAAAGGATACTTTGCTTTCAGGGTATCACCCAGAGAAAAAAAAGTGGTTACTCTATTCCTAGGTGTCTCTCAGACTCCACCCACCCTGGGGACATGTGAAATCACAAAATCTTGAGAGCTTTTAAGGGACCTCAAGGATCATAGGAATCCTAGATTCAGAGCTAGAAGGGATGGATCTTAGAGGTCATGTAGTCTAACTCCCTCATTCAACAGAGGTTAAGTGACTTGGTCAAGGTCACCCAGATGGTAAAAGGCATAGATAGGATTTTAATCTGTCCTCTGACTCCAAATCCAGCACTTCCCTTCCAACTGCTTTGTTCCCCTCTCCCGCACTGCACCACTTTGCTGCTGCTTAGTGTGGAGTCTGGAAGAGGTAGTAAAACTCTAAACTCTAGACTCTCTGTGAAGGCACATCTAACCCTAAGAGGGGCCCAGATGATCCCAACACCAAAGAGCAACTCTCCCTTTGTTCTCTAGCTGCACTAACCATTTCTATTTAGAGAAACCATAACATCTGGGAAAACCCAAATAGATAGGCCTTCCCTTCAAGTTTGAGTGGCCAAGAAAACATACAATTTGAGAGACAGACAACATCAGCTGTTGATTCCTCAGCTGCAAGGACTTTCAAGGTAGGGCACCAATTCCCTGTCATTGACTATCAGACCTGGAAGAGCCCCAAGGGATTGTCAAATGAGGCTCTGAAGAAGAAAGGATTTGCAAATCCTTTTCTTTTTAGGGCCTCATTGCATGGTGAGTTTATATTAATAAAAGAATTGGGGTTTCCTAACTGCCAGTCCTGTATTCTTTCCAATAAATCACACTGTTCATGGTGGAAACTAATCCGAAAACTTCCATCAGGCCTTCAAGGGGCCATAACAGAAGAGTGAGTGACTCTGCACTTTGCAAGGAAAGGTGATCCCCAGATCCCCTTTACAGCCTGAAAGTCCCACCCCAGTTCAGCCTTCTAATGACAGGATCTGAGTGAGAGAAGTCTTCCTCTTCTGGTAGGAATAAGCGAGTCCGAAGACAGAGAGGGAGTCCCTCTCACCGAAGGTTCTTGTAGGTACCCTGGTAACAACAGCTACTTAAGGGGGAGCTAGTTAAAGAAGGAGGGGTGTGGTGAAGAAAAGATACACTTGGAGGGAAAAAAAGGTTTCAAGAAGAGAGAGCATTTCTGGAGAAAGTAAAAGTATGCCCCAAAATGGGCATTTTTTAAAATAGCACTGCTTCAGGCCCTCTAACCCTGAACTTCCACTTCACTACATAATAACGAGCGGCCCTGTTGCTCAACCTATAGTAGAACAGAAGACTCCAGACCCCGCCAGTGTCTGAGTCGCCGCAGCGACCAGAGGTATAAACCGAGCAGATCATTTCCCTATTCTGTGGGTCTTGTCCCCAGGATCGAGGGCTAGGAATGCCCAAGGAGCGCTAGAGATACATCCAGATGCCTGTGCCTCTTACCTGACCGCGGAGGTCCGACTTCACTAAGCTTTTCCCACCCAACCAAGAGGGGGAGCAAGGGAACCCCTCCTGAATTCAAACCAAATTCATTTAGATACAAACGTGCACCAAACCAGCTTGAGGACCGCGGAAAAAGACAAATTTTTAGGGATGTGGAAGGCTTGAGGGACTACAATAATTTATATCTCGTAAGTAAAGCTCAAATTGCTAAACATAGAAAAAATATAGAGTGAAAATAACCCCAGTAGCTTTCTACTTATTGAGATTCTCTTTCGCCTCCAGCTACCTCTAAATAAAATTCTGGTATTAAAAAGACATCACCAACCACACCACACATTCCCTGAAAGAAAAAACCCACCATAAAACAAACAAATCAAAACCTTGCCAAACACCTGGGTTACGAATGCGTCCAGAGCTTTCAGTCTCCAGAAGCGGTTTCCTATAGATTATAAACCCTAGGAAATAAGGGACATAGTATCTCCTCTCCGCTTCCAACTCTTGTACGAAGAGGGGATGAAAGCCCACCCAGCTTTGGCTCCAGCATGACACATCCCCTCTTCCCCCCAAAACCCTGCTCAATCTGTATACCTTTCTTCCACTCACCCACCCCCCGGCCCCAGGTCTTACTGAGAGAGGCGAGTGTGTTCCAGGGTAGCTCGACCCAGCCCGGAGGAAGGCAGCGCTCGTCCATCTATCTGCACTTTAATGAGTTTTCATTTTATTTAAAGTTCCCGCAGCCCGGGCGCCCCTTCTTTCCCCAAAGTGCCCGCCTAACGTCACGAAAAGCCTCAGCGGGCCCCTTCCGAGCAGAGAGAGGGCGGTAAACCCGCTGAGCTGGAGAGAAGGCTGGGCTGGAGGGAAGGAAACTCGCACATCCCAGCCAGCCACATACCTCCTCCTCCGGCTGCCTAGGGGCGCCGCGGCCCTACCCCAGGCGGAAGGGGGAGGGCAGGGGGAGCAGGGAGAGCCGCGCGGGGTTGGGGCGCGCAGCTACTCACTCACCTGACCGAGCAGTGGTAGCGAGTAGCAGCAGTAGAGAAGGCGGCGGCGGCGGCGGCGGCGGCGGCGGCAGCAGGCGGTGAAGTCCCAGAGCAGCCGGCGCCTCCAGCCCAGGGGTACTCAAGGAGCTGTCCTCCGCGACTGTTTCTCCTCTTTCCAGAGCTCAAGCGGCGCCCGCTCCTGCCCCCGCCCGGCTCACTCCTCTCCGGGCAGCCGGGAGCGTCCACCAGCCTTGCCCAGCCCAGCCCAACCCAGCCCAGCCTAGCTTAGCCTAGCCCAGCTGGTGCAACCGATTCGAGCGAGTGCAGCCGAGCCCAGCTCTCCTCAGCTCCTGCTCCTGCTCCGGTTCAGGCTCGGACTCATGCAGCTCAACCCTGCGCCCAGCTCCTGGCTCCCGGCTTCTGATCAACGGGAACAAACTCGGCTGGGTAGGAGGAAAGTGGGACAGGCAATCCGGGGAAAGAGGCTGCTGCTTCCCTCTATTTCCCTCCTGCCCTTCCTCTCTCCTTTTTCTCCTTCCTCCTTCTCCTTCTTCCTTCCACCCACCTTTTTTCCTTCCACCCCTCTGCTCCCTCTCTCCTGCCGCCACCGCCGTCGGCCCGGCTCCTCAGCTGGGAAGACTCCAAGCAAAGTGATGCTGTTGCCTCGAGGAGCGGCTGGGAATAGCGCCCCCGCCCATCCCTGGGAGGAGGGGGCCCAGGGACACTCCGCCCAGCTCCTGCCTGCTGCTGCCTTCTTATCTCCCTCCCTCCTTCCGCAAAGCCCAGTTAAGAAGAGGAGGGGAGGACTGGTCCACCAGAGCTGGGTCCCCTAGCCTTTGCCTCTGCCTCTGCGGAGGCCAGAGGCTCGCTCCTGGCCGGAGCTCTGGGGTGTGCCTAGGTGCGCTGTGCGGGACACAAAGGTGCGGGCTTCCGGGCGCGGCGCCGCGCCGAGCTTTCGGAATCTCCGAGTCAGTGCCTGCGTTCCTAAAAGGGACGTAGTCCGAGAATCCCAAGTGGACTTCAGGGCAAGGTTAGGGCTTGAGGCAAGGCAAAGCGCGGGGGGATGGAGGTGGGTGGGCTTTGGAGGGGAGGCAAAGCAGACAGAGAGGAAGTGAGGGAGTGGTACGATTCGGGATCGAGCTCTTCTGGTCCCGGCGTCCACCGATCCCAAAAGCAGAATGTCCTCTCCTTGGCCCTCCTCTCCCTTGACGTTTTAACTTTCAGGGAGCAGCCCCTGTGGGTTTGGCTGAGACAACAGGCTCCTGAAGGCACAGGCTGAAAGAGGTTACCCACACTCTTGATCTGTGCCCTCCTGATCCCAAAGAGCGTCATGTCCTAAACCACTCTCACCCCGACCCGCCAGCTCTAACTTTGGCCACTATCGTTAGGAGCATAGCCTGGAGACTTGGGTTTGCTGCCAGGCAAGGAGCATGCTCGGCTCAGGCCTTAACTGGAGACAGAGGGCATCTGCCAATTATCCCCTAACCTGCCTGCTCCCAGCACCAGAAGAATGGGCAGGGTTCCAAGAGTGAGCCAAAAATGGTCCTGCCTCTCAGGACTCAAAGCCTGTCTGAGACCTTGTAGACAGTGTGGTTGATAAGACCTAGACCACAGGACTAGAAAGTCCCTGTGTCTGTGGGGAGGAGTAGAAGAAATGCATTAGGAAATGTTTAAAAATTTCCCTTTGGGGGACCAGCCCCTCTCCAGCCCAGAGTATGCTTGCATCAAAAGCCACAAGTTAGTAATTATATTCCTGTTTGATGCATTGAACTTTTCAGAGAGTGATCACATTTGAAGTCTGATGGAAGAAGGAAGAGAGGCTGCTTCTGCTGCAGCCTGGGACTAAATGCCTTCTAGGTTGCTTTTGCAGCTAGGTGGCATACTGAATAGAGCACTGAACTTGGAGGCAGGAAGACCTGAGTTCCAAACCTGCTTCAGATCTACTATCTGTACTAAAAAAAAAATTTATTATCTATGTGACCCTGGGCAAGTTACTGAACCTCTCAGCCTCAGTTTCCCCATCTGTAAAATGGAGATAATAGCGCTTCCTTCACAGGGTTGTTGTGAGGATCAGATGAGTTAATATATGTAAAATGTTTTGCAAACTCTAAAAGTCTATATAAATGCTAGCTATTATTATTATTACCACCTACAATATTACACTCTCCACCCTCAAGATAATTGTGATGGAGAAAAAATAAAAAGTAAATTGGCCACCTCCACCTTCCCCAATTACTCTTACCAGAATAGACGACCTCCTTCACTTTTGCAACCACCATTGTCTCAGACTTCCAGTCCACTCCAATAAATTAGTACTTGTCCTTTCCAATGACTGGTAACCTCTTACCTCTTCCTCCCCAAATCCCTGAATTGCCGTCTGCAGCCTTTCTCTTGCTACCTCTTCCTGAACTTTCATCTGTATCTGGTTCAGTATAACCTCTCCTCAGTTCCTACCCTTTTCTTCCCTCCACTTTCTTTCCTTTTACTCTCTTAACTCTTCGAAGTCTGGCTTACAATCTCATCATGCAACAGAAACTACTTCTCCAAAGTTATTAATGATCTTTTAATTACCAAAATGAATCCTTTTAATTGCCAAAACTAATCCTAATTAATTACATTTTCTAATCCTCATCCTTTTTGACCTCTAAAGTCTTTGGTACTATTGATCACCCTCTTCTCTTTGTGACAATGCTCTCTCTTGGTTTTCCTACTTATATGACCATTCCTTCTGTGTTTCCTTTGCTGGATCTTTATCCACTTTAATCTGATAATGGTGGGGATTCCTCAAGGTTCTTTCTTGGACCCTCTTGTCTTCTACCTCTATGTCATTTCATTTGGTGATCTCATCAGCTGCCACGGTTTCAATTATCTCTACAAATGACTCTCAAATCTTCTTGTATAGTCATAATCTCTCTCCCAACTTCTAGGTTCAAATCTCCAATTTCCTAGTAGACATCTCAAATTGGATGTCCCATAGATGTCTTAAGCTCATTGTGTCCAAAACTGAACTCGTTATCTATCCCTCCAATCTTCTCCACTTCATATCTTTCTTTTCACTGTTAAGGGTACCATCACCCAGGCTCACAACTTAGGTGCCATTCTTGACTTCTCTCTCTCACCCCCCCCCATATCCAATCATTGGTCAACTCTTGTCATTTCCACCTTGATATCTCTCATATATGTCCCCTTCTCTCCTCTGACACTGCCACCACCCTGGTCCAAGCTCTCATCACCTTTTTCTTGGACTATTGCACTAGCCTGTTGGTTGGTCTCTCTACTATAAGTCTCTCTCTATTCCACTCTGTCCAATCAAATTGGTCTTCCTAAAGTACAGGTCTGACCATATCAATCCTCTGTTCAAAAAACTCCAGTGTCTCTATTACCTCCAGGGTCAAATATAAAATCCTCTGTCTTTCAAAGCTCTTTAGATAAGCTGACCCTTTTCTACCTTCCCAAGCTTCTTACACCTTACTCCTCTCAATGTACTCTACGATCTCTTTTCTGTTCCTCAAACAAGACACTCCATCTTCCAACCCTAAGCATTTCACCTGGCTGTCCCCTGTGCATGCAATGCCTTCCTTCATTTCCATCCCTTAGCCTCCCCTGGCTCCTTTCGAGCCTCAGCTAAAATTCCACCTCTTGCAAGAATCCCTTCCTAGATGTTCATCAATTGGGGAATGGCTGAACAAGTTGTGGTATATGATTGCAATGAAATACTATTGTGCTATAAGAAATGATGAGCAAGATGCTTTCAGAAAAACCTGGAAAGACTTACATAAACTGATGCAAAATGAAGTGAGCAAAACCAGGAGAACATTGTACATAGTAACAGCAAAATTGTACAATGATCAACTATGAATGACTTGGCTATTCTCAACAATAAAATGATTCAAGACAATTCCAAAGGACTCATGATGAAAAATGCTATCTATCTCCAGAGAAAGAACTGACAGTACAAGAATACAGACCAAAGCATATTATTTTTTACTTTATTTTTATTTTAAGTCTGTTTTTTTTACAACATGACTAATATATTTTGCATGATTGCATATGTATAATTTATATTAAATTACTGTCTCAGGGAGGGAGGGGAGAAGTGGAGGTATGGAGAGAATTTGAAACTAAAATTTTTTTTAAAGAATGTTAAAAATTATTTTACATGCCATTGGGAAAAAACAAAATATCATTTAGAAAAAGAATCCCTTCCTAGTCTTCCTTAGTCTTAGTACCTTCCCTCCAAGATTATCCATAAATTATCCTGCATAAATCTTGTTTATACATAGTTGTATGTTGTCTCCTCCATTAGACTGTGAGCTCTTTGAGGATAGGGGCTGGGTTTTTTTTTCTCTTTCTTTGTATCCTTGGTGCTTAGCATAGTGCCTTGGCACATAGTAGGTGCTTAATAAATGATTGTCAGTTGACTGATTGATTCTTCCCTCTTGCAGTTCTCTTTGGAACCCCTGCTCTATCATTAGCAAATTCCCCTTTATCCTAGGTTTCTTCTCCTACTCTCTTCATATTCTGATACTCATGGAAACCAAAATTCTTCAGAAAATATTTTAATTCTTTGTCACTCTTATCAATGCTAGCTGCTCCTTCTTCTTCCTCTTCTTTTTTGGCAAGGCAATTGGGCTTAAGTGACTTGTCTAGGGTCACATAGCTAGTTAAGTGTCAAGTGTCTGAAACTGGATTTGAACTCAGGTCATCCTGAGTCCAGGAGCAGTGCTCTATCCACTAGCTGCCCCACTACTTACTCCTTCTTTTATATCCCCTGACACTTTGGGGCTAGGAGGAACTGGCATTTTCTTTTCTCTCTACTGCCCCTTCCAGAGTCTCCTCTACTTCTTTCTCTCAGCAACCCCTCTGTTTTTGAAATTCACTCCAATCATATATGTCATCCTGTCCGGATTCTTGTTGCTCTCATCTACTGGCCTCCAGATAAATCCCTCCTTTCTCAAGGAGTGCTCATAATTATCTTATTCACCTCAGCTCCTGCCCTTATCCTTGGGCATTTCAGTATTACTTATTACTTCAAATACTTTGGCTTCTTAGGTTATCAGTCT